TATAAAGGTCGGAAACACGGGATCTTGTTTTCTGGGAGTGGACCACGGGTTTAAACTGTAGGAGACTGTAGATGTAGGAAGGGTGTCGGGTGTTGATCGTTTGGAATAGGAAAGATCCAAGGAAATATTGTCTGCGGAAAGAAGGGAAGAGCCACTTTAACTCTTCGTAAAGGTGGGACACATGAGACCGTCTCGATGTACCGAAGACAAATCTTAAGCACGTATTCATGAGTCGTTTCAATCTATCCTTGAGTACCATCGGGATGCCTCCGTACACCACACAGCCATAGTCAAAGTGGGGGAAAATGAGAGAGGATACAAGGAGCTTGCGGATGGGTTGTGGGAGTAGGTGGTGGAAGCGATGAAATAGCTTAAGGGTACCTATTGACTTACGGGAGATGAGAGCGATATGGGGTTTCCAGGAGAGGTTTTCGTCTATGGCGATTCCTAGGTTTTTAACGGAGGAGCTGAATGTGATAGGATGATCCTTGATGACTAAAGGAGGAAGGAAGGAAATGGATTTAAGAATAAAATTGGAACCTATAATAATGGCCTGAGTTTTCGTCGCGTTTGTATTTAAATTATTCAGACTTGCCCAGGCTCAGATCCTATCTAGGTCTGCCTGAATATTGGCGAACGCGACTAGTAGCTCAGAAGAATGAAAGGAAAAATAGATTTAGGAGTCATCAGCGTATAAATGATGTAGACAGTAGTAGATGGATTTTGAAAGACCACTTATATAGGAATTAAAAAGGAGAGGGGAAATGCTCGAACCTTGGGCCACTCCTGAGGACAGTGTAAGGAAGGAAGATAGGGGTTGGTTTGGAATGCTGAATGGTTGAGTTCTATCGGATAAGAAAGACTGCAACCAGAGGACAGAGCTGTTGGAGAAGGATAGAGATTTTAATTTAATGTAGAATACAGAGTGGTCTAAGGAGTCAAAAGCTTTGGAAAAGTCGAGAAGTATTAACACAGTTAACATTTTTTCGTCCATTGCGGTATGTAAGTCATTGGTAATTTTTAGTAGGGCGGATTGTGTGGAGAAGCCAGGTCGAAAACCAGATAGGAGAGGATCAAGTAGTTTTGAGTTTTCAAGGAATTTAGAGATTTGGGATTGAGCTGTTCTTTCCACAGGTTTAGAAAGGTTAGAAAGAATGGAGACTGGGCGGTAGTCTTTAGGAGAAGTACGATTGGGGATTTTGTTAATAGGTCTGACTAATGCTTTTATCCAAGCAGCAGGAAAAACTGAGTTCTGGAGGGAAAAATTATAGATGAAAAGGAGAACTGGAACGACTTCGGGAAGGCATAATTTTAACAGTTTGACTGGTATTCCATCAAGTCCGATGGAGTTTGTGTGGGATTTCATTATAGAGGAAATAAGGTCGGTTGGTGAAATGTTGAAGAAATAGAAATTATCACTATTAAATGAGGGTGATACAGAAAATTGGTAAGAGGTAGGTGAGCTGTTGCTGGTGGTGGAAAATATGAAGTAGGAATTTAGTTCATCAGGTGAAACCGGGTAGATTGGTGAGGAAGAGGATTTACAAAGAGAGAGTTTACGAAGGATTAGCCATATTGATTTAGAATCAGGAGCAGAAGAAAAGGTTTCGTGAAAGAAGTTTGATTTCGCTTTCCTGATTGTTGTTTGTGTCGAGTTACGGAGTACTCTATAGACTTGATAGTCATCTGCTAGTCGAGTTCGTCTGAAGCGTCTGCGGGCTGCCTCACGTCTCTTTTGCAAGTCACGGATTTCTTGACACATCCAAGGAGCAGGTTGGCGACGGAAGGTTGAGGTTTTGATAGGAGCATGTATGTCAAGAATATGGATAAGATTAGAAGTGAGGATGTCTACCATATGATCAATAGAGGTGCAGGAATAAATACCGTTCCAGTTTAGGGTTTCTAGGTCAGGCAGGATTTTATCACGGGTGAGGGTGCCAAGATTGCGGAAAGTTATGGTTTTATCAAGAAAGATTTGTTCGAAGCAATTGGAAAATCAGGTGGTCTGGATAAAGTAAACCGAACTGCTGCACGTACGTAGGCAACAAATATATTAGAAAATGAAGAGAAGAATAGTTGGGGTGCTCAGTCAAAAAGGAAGGCAAAAAATAAATTATAATATTTATTTTTTACATATGACCGACGTTTCGACCTGAAGTTCAGGCCTTCATCAGGGCTTTCTCCTTAAGTGTCAAGGGAGAATCATTCTCTGGAACATAATAAAACATAAGCATTCTCCCCTTGACACTTAAGGAGAAAGCCCTGATGAAGGCTTGAACTTCAGGTCGAAACGTCGGCATATGTAAAAAATAAATATTATAATTTATTTTTTGCCTTCCTTTTTGACTGAGCACCCCAACTATTCTTCTCTTCATTATCCACACAGTCAACCAATTACCAATTATATTAGAAAATGATATGAAAGGACTGTAGTTTTGTACCTTTACAAGAAAGGAGATACTAGGAAATGTAATTACCATCGAGATTCACTCCTCTTTGGTGTACCAAAGAAACTCTCCTCAAGAATCGTAGAAGCTAGAATAAGAAATATTGACCATTGCCAGAGCGATATAGTTGAGAGACTCAAGTTACAACTTGGAAGAGAAGTTGCAAATTGGGACTGTCTTCACTTTAAGGCAGATTATAGAGAAGTCCACCTAGAAAAAAAAAATAGCTCTCTATCTGCTTAGTGCCGCACACTTTGGATTGTGCTAATATCTAATTGTCTTTCAGAAAAAGCTCGTTTTCTTTTTAGATTCCTTAAAAAATCGTTTGCAAATGGACTAAACAGAAGGAGAGCTATTTCCCTTTCTCGATAGACCACTCTATAATCTGCATCAAAGTGAAGATATAATGGATAATGGTCCTTTTTTTCTCATCCGAGATTTTGGCCCTCCTTTCTCGTTCACTTAGTGCATTTTTCCAATTTTTGGGTTCAATTTCGCGTTTTCCCTCATTTACAGACCAAATCCAAACAATCATTTCCGGTTAATAGAAAAACTTATAGTATCGCCCTTTCCATCTTTATTTGTGCAGAGGGAATGATGCATTTAATATTAAAATTTTCTAGTTTTTATAATATGGTCCAACTTCCGAACAATTTATTCCACAATTTCATAACAATAAGTTTTACTAAACAACCCGACAACTATTCATTTCCTGGAAAGTATATACAATTTAAATTACCTCTAAGAATTAGTAATATACAAAATATACAAAACTAAGCGTTAAATTACAAATATTAAATAAAAAATTCAAGATATTCAGCAAAGCATTTTTGAATTAAGTTTTATTATTACAATTATATAATTTTTATAATAGAGGCCTTCTTAAACGACCTCCGTATAAAATAAAGGAAGTTAAATTTAAAAAAAAATAATAATAAATAAAAAAAAATAAGTTAAATTTTGTATAATTATTGTATTAAAATTGCTGATCAATAAAATCAATATAATCTACCAAAAACGTTATTATAGCACTATAACTAAGCCATTTATGAGTACTGAATGGTGTGGTAGAGGCCTGAAGGCACCTACGCAAGTATCGCTTTTCTACCGCTCAAGTGTGTTTTCTACGGAACTGTTTCAAATATTTTAAAAAGTAATCAAAGCTTTAGAAAGAGAAATATATTCTAAAGATGTTTTATTTCAGCACGTTTTGCGTTATTGTTGGCCATTTAATTTGACAAACGGCGCTTGATTTTCGGCTTGACAATTTTTTTGTTAATTTTTTTGAATTTACTGGTGTTTTTCATTGCCTAAACCAATTATTTTTTAATATTTGTTTATGTTTTTATTATTCTATGACTATTCAGCTTTAATAAAAGACCAACCATGAGGAAATTAAACCAAGTGCTGAAGTCAAAGTCGTCAACCCGCCATCTTTGGACGCCATTTTGGGGCAGTTCGTTCACTTTTTTTGTGGGAACATTGCCTTTTTTTTAATAAATAGTTACAAGGAACACAACGATATGCAATTTGTAGGGATGTGGGGAGGAGTGCACGATAGGGGGCCTGGACCACAGACTATGAAGCCAAGACCGTCCGTGAGCGGTGAAGAACCGTATCCACCTCAAAGGTGGGGTCCTCTATATTCCTTTTACTGCTTTGGATTGTCTGAATGTGAATCTGATTATAGAAAAAACAAATTAGTAATAAAATAGTAAAAAACAAAACAATAACAAATCAAAAAAATTATACATACCTTTTTTTTCCAACACCACCTTTAAAGTTCCTAATCAATTACAACACTTTTTGTGTTTCATTATTCTTTATCCCTGTTGGAAAAAGCAAAATCTTTCATCTTTCTATCGGATTACTCTTCTTCAGTGCATTCAGAGCTATGAACAATTCTAACAATGATTTTCTCAATTTCAACATCAATAAGCTCACACAATTTTAGATATTCTCATTTCATTTACATGGACCCCACAGTTTTTTCTTTTCATTACCAAGTATGTTCACAAAATGACATTTTTTTCTCATAAATATGAAGAAATGCAATTTCTGGCTACTATTGGTTTAATATATATACCTCATACAATATATATCCCAATACAACTGGGTTCAGGTTTGGCTGATAAGGTATTAAGTAAAGCACATATTCATGACTTTAAAATAATTCATCCATAGTAAGTCCTTTGCCTGATACTGTGTTCTTCATACCCAACAAAATTCAAACACAAAACAGTGTTACTAGAAATAGTTTTTTAAGAAACAGATAAAACCTGAGAATTTCCGATTAATAACAATAAAAAAAGAATCAAGAAAACAAAGCTGTGCCTAGAAATTATTTTTATAAACCAAACATAAAAATATAGCACTAATTCACGCATTAGATGGTTACATTTAAATACAATCAATGTAGGATTCAAAATATTTAGTCTCAACAGGTAAAATGGACTACTGTCCTTTCCCTACAACCAGTGCAGGTTGGATAATTAGTTAACTTGTAGGATTATAAATTGAGAGTATAAATTTAAGTACTTAAATAAAACTTACTCTTTGTCGACACATAGCACACAAAAAACCTGAAGAATCGCCACGGCTAGTTATTAAATAATGCATCTGTAGACAAGTACCTAATAAAAAAAAAAGAAATTTTAAAGTTGAAATACAAACACATACAACATAATCAACTGCATTTTGTTATCAAGAAATTTTCTTTTTTTTTTCAATTTTAAATCTATGTATTGAATAATAATACAATCAGCCACTGCTGGAGGGCTATAAGCATTAGGGCTAAAAGTTCTCATTCATACAATATATACAAATAATAAAGAAATAAATATAAATATAAGAAGTACTGGTGTATCAGTAAATAAATAATACTGATGAAGAAGGTAAATAAAAAGAAATAAACAGACAAAATAAAAACTTCTAAACACAATCATAACTATATACAATATATACATTCGCCCAAGAATCTCCGAGCCAGGATTTTTCCCCCACATGTGGAAGGCAAAGCAAGAATCCGGAAGATCCCAGTGCCACTTTTCCAGCCGCATCACCAGTATTAGAGGCAAGCGGAGACTGAAAGAGGGCACTAGAGCCACAGACACTCAGGACATGAGTGGAGAAGCTGGTCATTGCCAGGACTCCAAAGGCATATTTACAAAAGATCTCGAGGCCACTGCCGTTTCAACCTTCGAGGGGGATGGTATGGACGCTTGGACTGGATAGGGATTGCGCTAGAGGATTGGGATGATGAATAAGGTTCTGGTGAAAGTTGGAGAATCTGGATGGGATAATGTTATGGACATATGGGATGTTAAGGTCATGGTGTAGGGTCTTGTTCGTGACATAATATGGAGCATTGACTATTGTTCGAAGGACTTTGGACTGGAAGGATTGGATGCGTTTGATATTCGATGATTTAGTTGTCCCCCACAGTTCAAGTCCGTAGGTCCAGATAGGTTTCAGTATGGTCTTGTAGATTAATAATTTGTTTTCTGTTGAGAGATGAGATGTTCTGTTTAGTAGTCTATATAGCTGACCAAATCGTCGGTTAAGCTCTTGTCTTTTAAGTCTCGTATGTGGGTTCCAAGTCAGTCTTTTGTCCAGAAGGAAGTTATCGGACTGTGTCTGAGTAGGGAAGAGGAATTGAATTGAAAAGTATTGGCGGACAGGATCTGCGTCGAAGAGTGAAAGTTACATGTTTGCATTTTGATTCATTAATTTTGATGCGCCAGTTGTTGCACCACTGCTCAATGAAGGAGAGGTGTCTTTGCAGGTTCCGGGACGCTATTAGAGGATCCGAGTGGGAGGATAGGATGGCAGTATCATCAGCAAATGTTGCTAGGATGGTATCAGGACTTGAAGGGATGTCAGCGGTGAAAAGGATGTAGAGAACTGGGCCCAAGACACCGCCTTGTGGAACACCAGCCTCAATTGGATAATGTTTGGAGAGTTCAGTGCCGCAGCGGACTTGAAAGGAGCGATTTGAAAGGTAGGATTTGAGGACTAGATACAAGGGTTGAGGTAAATGGGTTTTGAGCTTGAAAAGCAAGCCATCGTGCCACACCCGGTCGAAAGCTTGAGCTACGTCCAGAAAGGCACCAGTGCAATATTGCTTGTTTTCAAGTGCAGAGGATATGTGGTCCACAACGCGAAGGCCTTGTTGGACAGTGGAGTGTCTTGAGCGGAATCCAAACTGATGGGAAGGGATATTGTGGGATTCGAGTATGGGTAGGATGCGTTTGAGAAGGATTTTCTCAAAGATTTTGGAAAGGATCGGAAGTAAGCTTATCGGTCTATAGGATGATGTACAATTAACAGGTTTACCTGGTTTAGGAAAGAGGATAATTATGGAGTGTTTCCACACCAGAGGAAAGTGGGTTGTGCGGAGGATACAGTTGAATAGGTATGTAAGGAATATAATTGCTTTTTTGGGAAGTTGTCTGAGGATCTCGGAAGTAAGGAGATCGTGTCCTGGAGATTTGCGAGGTTTTAGGTTCTTTAAAAGGAATTTGACCTCAGAGGGGTTGACGGCTGTAGGAGGTAAGGAGAGAGGAATCGGTGAAGAGAGGATTCTTTAACTTCAGCAGTATGGGAGGGATGGAGTTCAGGATGAGGAGTGAATGTGTACGATAGATGTTTAGCAAACTCTTCTGCTCTATTCTCATCTGACGAAGCCCAGGAACCATCATCACGGCGGAGGGGGTGGGAAATGGATTGGAATTTAAGGATTTTTTTAGTTACATTCCAGAGGGAGTTATCACTTGCAGATAGTGAGGAAAGATAGGAATTATAGGATTGGGATCTAAACGTAGCCAGTTTTTGTTTTACCTGCTTGGAATAATAGTTATATGATTTCCGATCATCAGGATGCCTGGTTCTTTGCCAGATGGTCCTAGAGCATCGTTTTCTATTAATAAGGTCCAGTAGGTCTTGGGGTAGAGGATTTATTTTGCGGTATTTTTTAGAAGGATAAGGTGAAGATGCAGTCCAAACTGCTTGTTGGATCAAGGTAGTCATGGAATATACTGCTTCATCTAGGTCTGCGGGTGTTTTTAAGGAAACTCTGAGGTCAATATTATCATCCAGTATTTGACAGAAGAGGTTCAAATAAACTGAGCCCCTGATAACTGAAGGTGGAGGTGATTTGGGAATTGGTGATGTGGAGACCATAAGGATTAGGGGACTATGGTCTGAGGAAAGATCATCAAGTCTTGAAATGCAATAATTAAGGACCCTAGACCTTTGTGGATGAAAAAATCTAGGAGATCGGGATTGCGGTTAGGATCTGTTGGCCAGTATGTGGGAGAATTGAGTGAGAGGATGTTGCTGAGATGGGAATTAAGTGCAGACAGCAATGTTCGTCCTCAGGAATTTGTGGCTCCCCATTGCTGGCGTTTAGCATTTAAGTCTGCAACTAGAAGGAAGTGTTGTCCTAAGGAGTTAAGGAAGGAAGTTAATTGGGATTCTGAGATGGGTATTTTAGGCGGGGAGTATACTGTGACTACTGCTATTGGGTAAATGGAAGTTTGGATTATCACGGCAGTGGATTGTAGGAAATTATGAGTTAGCAAAGGGAATAGATGATGGAAAAGGGATTGATGGATAATTAAGGCAGTGCCAGCATGTGGTGTTCCATCAGGATGGTCGGTTCGATAGATATGATAGTTGGGATGTTAAGTGGTCGGTTGTTGTTAAGTCGAGTTTTAGTTATTAATGCTATATCAATGTTTTTGTCCTGTAATAAGATTGTTAGTTCGTTGATGTGATTTCGAATACCATTCGCATTCCAAAGGAGAACGGAGAGGGATTTGATTGGGGACATTTAAGGATTTCTCGACAGTGGGATGAGGTTGGATACAACATTGGTAAGCAAGGAAATGAGAGGAGTGATGAGTGACCTGAATTCAGAGAGGAAAGAAGTCAATAGGCTTGTGAGGTCAGTGGCATTGGGAGGAGGAGGAATGAATGTCTGGTTATTAGGCCTAGGTTCAGAGATGGGATAAGGGTCTTGTGGTTGAGATGTGAATACTCGAGGTTGAGGTTCTTGTGGCAGGGCCTGAGTTTGTGTGGGTGCAGTGTCTCCTTTGAACATCTGAGCATAGGACACTCTTGTATTTACAGTTCTAGAGGGTTGTCTTGGTGGCCTGGATGGCCGTTCTTCTCTTGGAGCTGCATAAATTCTTGCTTTCAGTTCCTTATATGTTTGGCAACCCTTGTAGTTCGCTGGGTGCCCTTGATGGCATAAAGCACATACTGCTGGTGTTCTTCTGGACTTCTGGCAGTCCTCTGTTTTATGTTGATCACCGCACCTGACACATCTAGGAATGTGGTGGCAATAGCATTTCGTATGACCATAAGCCTGACAGTTATGGCATTGTACAATGTCGCGCTTAGTGTAGGGATTTTCTACAACAATGCTAGTGTAATAAAGTCGTGTGACTTTGTAGATGTCTTCGACCTGGGGCATTCGGTCAAGGTCAACGAAGAATAGTGTGAGCGGTATTTTATTTTTTGTGCTAGGCTGTTCTCTATCTTCCTTCAATATATTCACTATTTAGCGAACACGGAACCCCATCTCAGTTAGTTCTTCTTTAATGGCATCCAGTGGTGTTGATGGGTATATGTGGCTTTAGTGCCCTCTCTTAGTCTCCACTGGATTTCCATCCTAGTGATGCGGCTGAGAGAGAAGCGCTGGGATCTCTTGGAGTCTTGCCTTATCCTCCACACGTGGGGGAAAAGGCCCGACTCGGAGCTCCCTCGGCTGACTAAATATTGTAAATAAGTATGAATGTGTTTTTATTTATTTATTTTTATTTAATGTTGTATCATGTTTGATTTATTCTGTTACTCCAAGTTTTATTTTATTTTATTTTGTTATAATCTTGTTTTTCTTTTATTGTATATATGGTATGTTTGTATTTCATTCATCCTAAATACTCAATGCCCTTAATTGAGGCAAAATGCATTTTTTCTAAATAAAAAAAAAAATAATAAAAAAGGTGCAGCTGATATGTATGATAATCCGCCTTAGTGTTAGATAAATACTTGACAATTTTTCTGTACGTATCTGGGGTGTCAGGCATTAATTTCGTGTCATTAGTGCGGCTTTGGCATAAGTATTTACCTGAGCCCACTATATTATTTAATTGTAGACACATTAATTGAAAATTTTTTATATTTCTAACGAATATCGGTGGAGGTTTAGGTTCACTATGGGGTGGGCACTGCTTCCATTTGTTCATTCTGTGTGTTTGACAGCACTTGGAATGGATTAGCTGTAAAAAAGGACGATTCTTCTAACGTACCTTGTATTGGCATAGCTTGTGTTGACATATTTTGTGTTGATGTGCCTAGTTGATTTTTTACTTTGTCTACTGAGCTCTCTGGTGTAGCTGGCGGGTTATTTTTTTAGATTGTCTAGCTCTTTTCTTGATAGGTGAACTCTTTGTGGTATTGAGACTCCTAGATCTTAAAGTTGGATTTTTACCTTTGCTCGACATTACCATGTGAAAATAGCACATCTCATATTAATTTAATTAGAGGTAAATGTAATAATTTGCAAAAAAATGTCCTTTATCAATTAGGTATATATTACGCGAGTTTGTAGAAGTTTGAGTAACAT